ATTTCGGGATTTTCGAGACTTCGGATTTTCAGGATTTTCTGAACTAATTCGGGATTTTTGGGACTATTACGGGGTTTTCAAGATTTTATGGATTTATGAAACTACCTCGAGATTTCGTGAATTTTTTGAACTATTTCGGGATACCTCGGGATATTTGGACTATTTTGAGATTTTTGGGGCTAATTCGGAAATATTGGGACTTTTGAGAGTACTTCGACATTTTATGATTCTGGGGCCTGAATAACCAACATTTCGAGGTAATTTCGTAAATCCCGAAATAGTCCCGAAATTCTCGAAGTAGTCTCAAAGAACCCTAGAACCTATAGTCCCTAAAACCCTTAAAATTTCGAAGTGTCGAAAATCCCAAAGAAGTCTCAGAAATCCACAAGTGCTCTTGTAAATTCCGAAATAGTCCCGAGAATCCCGAAAATCTTGAAGTCGTCTCGCAAAAGCCGAAATATAAATATCGTACAGCGCTGAAACCGGCGTGTCTCTAAAGCAAACTTAACAAGGAACGATGGAAATTCATTCCAAAATAAACCATCTTAGAAGAAGTATTTGACAAAATTTTCCGAGCCCGATAAGGTTAGTAAAAGTAATTAAGCAGCCGACAAAAATTAAACGCTACTACCAACGTTTCCTTGCAGCTGGAATCGTTTTTTCATTTGTGTAGAAGGACCCCTTTTTCCTCATCACGTCTGATATCCACTTATCCCTATCTGGCCGACCGGTCGTGGATTTGTTGTTAGAAGGCGAGATAGGAGCATAATAATCAGCTTCGATGGGAAAGGCGCTGATCACAGTTAATTTGTTTCAATTGATTGGTACTACAGGCTTTGGCAAACTTCGTCAATTGAACAAAGCGCAAAAGCGGTCCAAACTTTGAAAATGGTCGTTCTGCAAGATGCATTTAGCGTATTACGTATTTTTTTCCAGTCAACATAACCGGTCATTTGAGTCAACAATCAGCCCTTTGGTGCGAAAATTCGAAGAAACTGGGTCGGTGCATAGCGCGACGAGTGAACCAGGTCGCGTCAACCTAACAACAAAAGACCTACATATGTATGTTTATACGCCTAAAAATTGAATTGACACAGAACTGAAGCCTAGAGACCGCTTTTAGGACCGAATAAGTGCCAATTGGCCGCTTGAACAACGAGCAGTTGATATCTAAACGGATATGTTAACAAGCAAAACTGCCGCATTTGGGATACCGAAAATCCAGGGGTCATTCGAGAAGAAACTATGTACCCAAAACGAATCAGTGTTTGGTGTAGTTTTTGGGCTGGCGGAGTCATCTGCCACATAGCGCATAAAACAATGGTCTCAGGATGTATTATCTCACGAAACAACGAGTTCAAATGTCCGCCGAGATCTTGTGATTTGACATCGTTGAACTTCTTTCTCTAGGGTGGTTTCTCATTCATTTTAACCTTAGCCACTTTGCCTGCTTACTTTCCACTAAAGGGACGGCGGTTTAGGTGATATGTATTTGTTGCTTCTCAAGAAAAACAATTAGCGCTTCATAAATTAGAATTGCAATAGATTTTTCCCAGCCAATTTAATACTGCGAAATTGATTTGTTTCACTTCAGAAACCCAACCGTCCACACTTCCGTAAATTATGCATTCTAATGAAATGCAGCCAATTTCTATGTGCTCTTCACATGCTATGTCCGCCAGGCCGCCATGCTACATCGCAAGCACGTTGGGCACGTTTAGCAATTTTAAAAATTTCTTCCTGCCCTGGCAAAAGAAGAAGCTGTATGTAAGTAACTATTTATTCGTAACTAGCCGACTTGACTGCCGGAATTTATGTATATACGAGTAGTTGCACCAGAAGCTGCAAAGACTTTCACATGGAAAGTTCTTTCAACTTCAACCAGCTAACTAGCGAAGTGGAAATCGATCCATATTTGGTGCTGGTCAACGATCTGACTGAACTGTTAGTTGGTGAGGCGTGCACATCAGTTCAGTGCCGCGGATCACTGACAGATCGATCGCACATTTGACGCGCTCACACGTCACTGAGCATATGTTGTACTTTGGAATGGTGATGGGAACGGGAATGGGAATGAGAGAGTGTATGTGATTGCGTGTGTATGCACTTCTCACTGCGATCGATCATTTTGTTGGTTACCGCGAAGTTGTTGGCTGGCAGGCAGGTAGGCACCATATTTAGCAGCAATGCTGCCAACAACTATATACTTACTTCCACCGACACCACCCCAATCAACGGTATAAACAATATCATCTTTGGCGTGCACGACTGGTAAGAATTGCATTGCCATAAAACACCGACAACAACAAAAGTGGGAATAAGTAAAAATGAAATAAAAAACCAACGAAAGAGAAGCAAAAAACCAACGAGTAATAAACAAGGAATTGTAACAGTTGCGGAAGACGTATGCAATTTTATAAAAAGTAAAAGAATAAATTGAAGAATGTGTTTGGAAAAATGCACTTTGGTTGGAGATAAAAAGCGGATGAACTCTGCACAGTAGAGCGTTATATGAAATTAGTAAATCAAAAGAAGAGTTTAGCTTTAATTTAAAAAGGCATAGAGTGAAGTGGTCTATGAACTGGGTTGTAAGTTCTCTTCCTACCTTAAGAGCAGATGGATGTTACCCTGAACTGGAATGCCTATTAAAACATATAGCGGCTTTAGAACCCTGGTAGGCCGATATAAAAATTAGAAATTTATTAAGATACGCTTTTTGCATGTCGCTTACGCCGTTCCGGCTACGAAACGCTACCAATGAAGGAACCATTTTTTTTTTGTGTAGGCAGGAGTCCGAAATGACATTTAATCTTACGATGTAGGTTCTTACCGCGCAATGCGCATGCAAGCTCCCTTTCGAAGTCGACGGTTTCTGCATTGCTAGGATGTGAAGATTTTTAGAACACCCACGTTGCAAGAACTCACCAGAGTACTTCTTCCTGGAACCGTGAACGATCCCAAAAACGATGTGGAGTTTTACTTATCCTTTCTAACGCAACGTGGATAGGTGCAGGAAGTGTCGTGAGCGGAAGATCAGGGAAACTTTACAGCATATTCTGTGCCGATGTCCCGCAATATCAAAAACACGACTAAAATGTTTAGCAGCCCACAAANGTTCCGGCTACGAAACGCTACCAATGAAGGAACCATTTTTTTTTTGTGTAGGCAGGAGTCCGAAATGACATTTAATCTTACGATGTAGGTTCTTACCGCGCAATGCGCATGCAAGCTCCCTTTCGAAGTCGACGGTTTCCGCATTGCTAGGATGTGAAGCTTTTTAGAACACCCACGTTGCAAGAACTCACCAGAGTACTTCTTCCGGGAACCGTGAACGATCCCAAAAACGATGTGGAGTTTTACTTATCCTTTCTAACGCAACGTGGATAGGTGCAGGAAGTGTCGTGAGCGAAAGATCAGGGAAACTTTACAGCATATTCTATGCCGATGTCCCGCAATATCAAAAACACGACTAAAATGTTTAGCAGCCCACAAATTTGAGAAGTTAGCAGACATCTCAAAAGTAGAGCTGAAATTACTACTGAAATTCGCGAAAATTGTTGATGTCTACTTTAACGTTTAAAATCGAAATCCAATTAACAACGCTTAGGACCTAACGGCCTGTGTGTGGCTAAGCGCGGTCCAGATAAACCTAACCAGCATTAACACCGATAATTCTTGCCAACAAGTGCTACTTTGGCCTGAGTAGGCAATTAAGGAGTAAAGTCGTATTTCGACGTACGAAAACCACACTCTATATATCACTCATTATGCCCATGTTCGTATATGGCGCCGAAGTATGGGTAATGACAACATCCGATGAGGCGGATCTTGGAGTATTCGATAGAAATATTTTGGAAAAGATTTACGGGCCCTTACACGCTGGCCACGACGAGTATCGCAGATGATGGAACGATGAGCTTTAATTTAATTAATTTAATGATGAACTTTACAACGATATATAAATAGTGCAGCGAAGTAAAATAAAGCGGCTACGCTTGATTGGCCATGTCTCCGATGCTTCACCTCTGAAGGTATTCAACTCGGAACCCGCTGATGGTAGCAAAGGAAAAGGGTGGCCCTACTGCGATGGAAAGACCAAGTTGAGAAGGTCTTGGATTCACTTGGCATTTATAATTGGCGTTAGTTGGCATAGAAGAGAAATGACTGGCGTGCTTTGTTGAACTCGGCAAAAATCGCTTAGGCGGTTACAGCGCCAAATAAGAAGAAGAAGCACCTAGAGCAAGCCTCAGTTTGTCGAAAAAAATCTGTACTCTCCCTTTCACTAGTCAGTTTATCAGTCGTGCGGTTCTCTAATTTTTCAGTGTACCCAGATAAAAAAAACTGTCAACCAAAGTTTAAAGCAGCTAAATGATAAAATCCGTTATCCATCATCTGCTTGTAAACTGGACAATAGCCTGCCAACCTAACTTTGTGGTTTACGATAATTTCCTAAGGTATGCGCTCAAAAATATAGCAACCATCACCACACCTGTACCAGTCCTTAACCCATTCTCTGAAGCCTGTCATGGAGTAAACGAGTGTCGCAGTAGCAGCCTAATCTAGTTAATTCACTCAGATGGCAGAACGCCGTACCCACGACCTTAAGTTAAAAAGGAGAACGTCTAACCCATTTTTCAAAGACATCACGTTGAAAGTTCGTCCATGCCTTCTTCAGTGGATAATAACGATAGTAGAACCTCGAAACATAGGAGTTGCCTGTAAAAGCTTTCAAAATATTGGCCTCACCCATTTCATCATTCCTTTCCCACTGTTCTGCCAAACTGACCAATTGTTGTCTTTCCCATTGTTTGCTATGGGAAAACTTGTGCGGCTAACTTGTTGTCGGCACAAATTGGCAGCAACCATAACAGACCATAAACATATGTATGTACCAGGTATTTATGTGAGTATTCACGATTAGTTAAAAATATTTAAAAACCTTTAGAAATGTTCACTTTGTTAGGTACTGACATAGAGGCACGACGCAAAGGGTAACTTACCGTTTCTGTGCAATTTCTGGCGTTGACCGCCGCCGACACCTCCAACATCTCTGATGCCATGTCCATTATGACTACCGCCATTGTAGTTGCCACCGCCACCACCACCACCACCACCGTTGCCGTTGCCGTTGCCGTTACGGCCATTTTTCTTCTTCTGCTGTTGCGTCGACGTGCCACGTTTGTTTGTGTTGACAGCGAATGCCGATGTTGTTGCCTTGACTGCTGCAGCATTTGTGGCATCTGCCAGCGCAATATTGTCCGCAACAAATTCATTACTATTTATGTTGCTCTCGATGGCCAGACCACTTTTGGTTTTACGACGTGTTGCTTGATGATGTGTTTGTCTATGTTGCTTTCGTTGTTGTTGTGTTTGGTGGTGTTCGCGTTGTTTACGCGATTTTTCATGCTTGTGTGATTTGTTTGGCTGCGAGTGCTGTTGCTGTTGCTGTTGCTGTTGCTGTTGCATTTGCTGCTGCTGCTGCTCCTCCTGCTGCTTCTTGCGCTTTTGTGCGCGATGTTGCTGACGCAGTGCCTGTTGCTGCTGCTGCTGTTCGAGCCGCTGTAACTTCTTCGCCGCAACTAGAGTGCGCGCTGTCCAAGAGTCGATGCTGGACTCGATAAAATCGGCTCGACTTGTATTGGCCGGCATTAGGGTCTCGGAGTATTCTCTGAGCAGCTGCGCGGGGGATAGGCTGCGCAGCTGTTGGTGCATGAGTTGTGTACGTGCAGTTGTAGCTGCATGTGTGGGTGTGGCGGTGAGGAATATAAAGTTTATGCTCACTAGCTGCAGATAGCGCAGTAAAAGCGGCAACCGAAGTCTTTTAGTTTTTATTCTCTCGTTAGCGATTTGTTTTTTCACAGAACGCATAGTGGAGGGCTTTTCCTTAGAACGTCTAGAGCGCAACATTTTCGAAACGTTCGTTTCCTTCACTTTATTGGGAGTTGTGATTTTCAAAATTCACTACTTCACACTTCACGATTTGTGTTATTGTGATTTCCTTTTTATTTTTATCTTATTTTTCTTAATTATTCACACCTGTAGTAGCATAAATATTTTCTTACACTTCACAAATTTATACTCTGTCGTAGTTTTCTTCACGATCATTTTTGTTTAGGCACCAACTAAATGGAAAAAAACTCATATAATGAATGCTCACAACATATTTCCTAATCCATAAAATTTTCTTAATAACTGTGGACTGTGAAATCTTAGCATTTCCTTTGATTATGAAATTTAAGCAAAAAATTAAATTTCACTTCAGCACGATAAAGAACTGTTAAATCGGTGACTAAATTTTTAGTGTTTATATTTCTGCTTTTTGATTTTCACAACAGCTACTGCACGAAGTTTCAAATAGGGATTAGATGAGAAATATACTAATTTGAGAAGTATTTAGAATTGTTTCTTGAAATACATATATCATTTCGGTAAATATTCGAGAGATCGTTAGTAAGCCATTGAGCCAAAAAATTGACAAGAGATTACGGAAATTCGTTCCAAAACACATCATACTCATACCCTGCCGGAAGCCTCAACAATCAAAGCGAAACCACAGATTATACAGCTATTAAGCTCAGAGCTACGAAAAACTTTTTAACGAGAGGTGAAGATAGAGACTAAAAGTTTAAACAGATGGCAGCGTTGATCCGGACTAACTCGGATTTAATCCGGATCAACTGCAGTTAATTCCCGAGTTGATCCGGATCAACGCCGCCGTATGTTTCTGCTTTAAGATAAGATTCGCCATGCCCGATTCTGCCTACTGCATTGACATCAATGCTGTGCGGAGAGATGTTATAGCGTACGTTGGTAAAGCAACAAAACTTCATTATTATCACAGTTCGAAGTCATTGTGAGGTGAAACCACATCTATTTTTGAAGGTTGGCTAGGCTAATCACTTCTAGAAAAACCTTTGGATAATGCGCGCTTAACATTTTAGGTGGTTAATGTATATTTCAGAGAGTTCTTCTGGAGTCTTTAGAAAATGCGACATAAGATGCTTAAATTTCAGCGCCGCGAAGGCTGAACAGGTAATCATAAAGTGTGTAGTTGATAATACTCCATACACAAAGTAGCAACAGTATTGACAAGAATCCCAAACTTAACTGGAACCCAAGCATTGAAGAGCGTACAAGGAAGGCCACGATGGCTCTATATGGAGCCAAGAGAATGTTAGGCAACAGATGGGGTTTGAAGCCGAGGATTGCNTCCGGATCAACGCCGCCGTATGTTTCTGCTTTAAGATAAGATTCGCCATGTCCGATTCTGCCTACTGCATTGACATCAATGCTGTGCGGAGAGATGTTATAGCTTACGTTGGTAAAGCAACAAAACTTCATTATTATCACAGTACCAAGTCATTGTGAGATGAAATCACATCTATTTTTGATGGTTGGCTAGGCTAATCACTACTAGAAAAACCTTTGGATAATGCGCGCTTAACATTTTAGGTGGTTAATGTATATTTCAGAGTTCTTCTGGAGTCTTTAGAAAATGCGGGATAAGATGCTTAAAACCCAGCGCCGCGAAGGCTGAACAGGTAATCATAAAGTGTGTAGTTGATAATACTCCATACACAAAGTAGCAACAGTATTGACAAGGATCCCAAACTTAACTGGAACCCAAGCATTGAAGAGCGTACAAGGAAGGCCACGATGGCAACAGATGGGGATTGAAACCGAGGATTGTGTACTGAATACACTCTTATGGAGCGCTCGTCTGGTGGCTAGCCCTTACTAAGGATTACATAAATAAAAAGCTTAGCGGAATTCAAAGGTCAGCAGCCGCTGGCGTAACAGATGCAATGAGATCCTGTCCGAAGGATGTTTTGAACGTTCGTTTTGATTTATTACCGATAGATATCTTTATCGAAAACTCAGCTGCTAACAGCGCCATCAGACCGCGTACCATGGGTCTCTGGAAGCAAAGACCGTTCCGGTACGGTTCTATCTCAGACGCATTACCGCCTGAAATTAAAGCGCTGCCCACTGAATATATCAGTAAGGTACATCAAAGAGAATATCCCGCAAGAACGCAGGTGAATATCTTCTCGTGTAGCCAAGCGGCTATTCAGGCACTCTCTTCTACTTCTGTTAGATCTCAACTAGGGGATGACTGTAGGAGAGAGCTGGTCTATATCTGGTCTGATCAATATGAAATTACCATTCGAACATTTCCTGTGCGAGTGTCCATCCCTCGCAAAGATATGGCTAAGGACACTCGGCAAACCATACCTGCAAAATGTTTCAGAGTGCAGCTGCCTGTCTCTGTATGACGTACTGCCCAGCACAAAGATCGCTCAACTGGCACTTGGCCTATATCTATAGAAAGTCAAAGGTAAAGTAAAGAAGTTTTCTGCACTAGCACTATAGCCTGATATCTTTACCAATTGGGTCATAAAATATGCCGACGCGACCGAAAGGGAAGTCAGGTATGTCCCTGACCTATTTCGAGCATTCCGTGAGGATGAGGAAATGCTTTGTTCTAACAGAGTATATGCTATTCATAATAGAGGTCCGCAATTGAGCAGTGAATCTAGTCCACCTTTCCAATAGCTTACTCTGTCTAAGAGGTTAAAGAAGAGTGCTTATAGAAATTCTTATATCTCTCGATTTCTTTAAACACTATATTGCATTCCTAGTAACCGTACTTTTGACAAACTAATAAGAATATAGCAAAAATTATTGTCGGGGACACCGCCCTTAAGGTGACCGTCTTTCTTACTTTTCGATCTGCATTCCTACATATGTATGTAGATAAATTTTCACTGGGGAGGAGGATGATAGATTACGAAAACGGCTTAAGTCGTTAATGTACATCCTTTGAGGTGTGTTAGTAGGTAAAGTTATCCACGTGACGGTCCCGTCCTAGTCAAGGCCTTTCGTCGATCGTGCTCGGCGAATATGATTAGGAGGCTTCGCTTTATAGACCCCGCCCATGTGATTAAGTTTTAATGAAGCTTCAATGGTTTTACAATTAGCTAAATCGTCGTGAAACCGGTGTCAAGGTTTTTTTTTCTCAGAAGGGCAGCCATTTTAAGTTCGCAACCAAACTTTGCCTCTACGTTGGTATCCATACGTGCGAACGGATTTTTCTCTAGCTCTCGTCACAATTATTTTTGCAGTACTCAAAATTTAAACTTTTTGATTAAAAATCAAATTTTAAAACATGCCATTTTATTTTCAAAGCGAGTTTTAATGTTTCAGATGTGCCTTAGTAGACCTGTAGTAGAATTTGGGAACCCTTTTTTTTTGAGCATTTTAACTCATTAACTTCTAGTAGAACTGGTCTTTTTCTGACAATTTTGAAAAAATATGGCAGTTAGAGGGTTAAAATATTACACAAAAATGGAGCACATTTTACTAGGGATTACAGAAAACGAAAATCGCGTATCAAGGGGGAAGAGTAAATATATAATCAGCCTTGTTGTCAACTTATAAGTCGTTCCCATAATTTAACACGCGAAATGAAAATAGCTACATTAGGAAAAATTATTTTTGTTTTTTTTTTATAATTTTTGAGAATAATTGTTAACATAGAATTCGCAATAAGGCCCAATTTTTCAAGAAAGATCAGAATTTTTCGCCAAAGCAAAATAACCTTTAATCTTCTCTAAATAACTGACTTGAATTTTTGGAAAATTTAGTCTTGTACCTATAAAAGATGGAATGCACCGTGATCCTATTGGGGTTCGGTTATAATTCAGTTCAGACCCTAAAATAATAGTTCCCCAGAGTAAGAACAAACGCTTAACACTCTCTTTTTAAAAAGGGCGGCGCTATCGTAAGCACTTTGAGTCCCGAAAATAAAATTTTACACTACCTGCGATTAGCCCTACAGTATTCTAAAAGAATTTGAATATGTAAAAATCGCAAGTTTAGAAATTTTCAAGCCAAATTTAACTGAACTTATAGGGAATTTCAAAATATTTCATCAAAAAAAATTTATTAATTTGATAGCACTTTCTTACACGTCAGGCGATACATTCGAGTTCAATTAATTTTTCTGTTGAATACAATTTTTAATGTTATAAAATGAGTTAAATTTTTTTTTTTAATTTGTAAACGTTTTTTCTTTTTGAATCACATGTGAGCACGCACAATCAGTTTTTGTCCAATTTATAACTAACTAATATATTTGTTTCATATTTCTCCGTTAAAAACTTTATACGCGCAATAAAAGATTTTAATTTTTTAAGTTACTAGCGGCTTTCTTTCCACACGCAGAGACGCTTATTGAAATTAAAAATTTTTTAGTGCATCTCATCACAAATTAGTATTCCCATCGCCAGCAATTTTATTTATAAGTTACCCAATTTCCGAGAATTACAAGCAATCTGCTGACGCTTTACAATGCTATTGGCACTAGCACTATGAATTATTACCATTGAAATTTCAAATATTATTAACAGCAAAGTAAATTACTAACATGAACGGAACTGCTGTCATTCACTTTGCCATCAACACGCAACAACAATTCTTGCGGCGATACAAGAATCGGAACTGCTTCGCGTAGCACAAACACGCTTACATACGCAAGTATGAACAACTTCCGGTTGGACGCGACGGCGTCGTTGTTGTTTTTGCTTACTTCCTTTCGCGTGCCGCACTTATGGACATACTCGTACATGAACTTTGAAAAGGGCTAAAAAGTGTTGATTGTATTTGTGTGCTTGCGACTATTTTTACACCTTCTTATTGCACTTTGGCTTGCTGCACAGGCTGGCTATTGTTGTTGGAAGACGCTACTCCAGTGCTTTTATTACGTTTCTTGTTTAACTTTAATTGCACATGTAGAAATGTTTGCGACACACTGGAGCATTTTTTGCAACAAAAATGCATTTAGTTTTTACTTTTTCCCCGTACTCAGCTTTTGAAGGACTGCTCGCGGCAAAAGGGGTCGCGTGCGATTTGAAATGGGGCCGCACGTACCATCGCGAAAATACTCGTATAGCATACATACATATGTACATGTAAAGCAAGCATCAACGAGTACTACGACAGCGACAGCCAAAATTAAAACGAACAAGCAGACGATGCGAATTGCCGTGACGATGACTCTGACGATGCAGACGAAGTTGCGTACGGCGACAAAATTTCTATTTTCGTATATCCTCAGAAAAAGGGCCAAGAAAACACCGATCTCTTGGTAGCCTTCATTATTTGTGCGATTTATCGCGAACGGATGGCGGCGCTTTTGTAGCACCGAATGTTTTGATGCATTTAATTTCTTATTTTTTCATTTCAAGCTCCATATTTTCCGTTCTCAAGTGAATATCTATTAAGGAAACCAATTAGGCATTTTAACACTCCTGGCACACTCACACTGTAAAATATTCACATCTCTTAATTGCTTTTACCACACGCATCATTTTCTTTATGCCCGTTACTAAACCACCGTTATACATATGTACGCATTTTCATTTAACACCATAACCCCGTCGTAAACAAGCACTTATCACCATAACTTACATTGCGTAATTGCCTTACTTATTTTCATATTTTTTCTCACTATTTTTCAAAAACACAAAACAAAAAAATAATTGTAATTTAATGCGCGTTTACTCGCCCGCTTTCCGTTTTTATGTCCATTCACGTTGAGCCACCACGAAGAACTGAATCGATATTCACCAACCTTCGACGCCAGCGCCTTCGATTTCGTTTATTCCTTTGATGATCTTCGGCAAAGCGGCGCACTTTGCTTATCAATGCTAGGCAGTGCTGCACTTTGGTGAGTTTTCCCCATTGCATTGCGGGTGTTTGAATGCACCGCTTGCGCATGGGTTTGTATGTGTGTGTGTGTGTGTGTGTGTGTGTGTGTGTGTGTGTGTGTGTGCTTAGTGCATTGCGCTAAAACTTTACTAGCGGAAACTCACCACATTTAGTGCGATGCGACAACGAACATGTTCGTGGTTACTGTTTGGTGTTGGGTGCGGTGCTTTTTTATTTTGTTTAACCTTCACCGTGGTACTATTTACATACAAATGTAAAGATTTTAATTTTGAAATGTTTTTTTTTTTTTACTTTTTCTCCCAATGCGGCACATTTACATACATACATCTGTAAATATTACATTATTTTGGCGAAATATTTTACGTAGTTTATGTTTTTTTTACCTAAATAACATTTAAAACATCTAGTTTGCCAGCATGTATATTAGGACGGGTCGAAAATTTAATTTTTCTCAAATCTCTTGGCAATAGTGAAAATGTGTTTTATCATGATCGTTTATTTCAATTGTAAGAGCCCCGACCCCCAACGAAATATACTAACCNTTTTTTCCATATCTATATATACCTTTATAATGCCAGCTGTTTAAAAATTTAAACTCAAATTATTTAATAAAGAATGCCACCAGATCCGCTCGTTCGTTCGATTTTCAAAAATGAGGTGTCAATTTAAAGATTTTGGACTGTAAAAGTGCAAAAGAGTTGCCACCTTTAAAAAAACTTAATTCAAATTATTAAAAATCCATAAAAATATTGCATCAATCGAAATGGGTTTGAAAAGCCTTCTTTATTAACTTAACTGTAGGAGGGTTGCCACCTGTTAAAAAATCAAATGCAATTTGAGTTAAGGGAATATGGTAATAGAAATATGTATCACCATATGAGCGCAGACGAAAAAAATTTGAGAAAGAAATAGTTCGTAAATATTTTGAATAGGGTTACCACCTGTTCGAAAGGTCGACTTCAGTTAATTTATACACAATGAAATATAAAAATATGTGAAACAAAAGAGTGTTAGGAAATCTTTAGTTTGGACATTAGTGTTCAAACCGTTAAAAAGTTAAATTCACATTATTTAAGAATTTTAATGAATTATTAAAATATTGGTATCAATCGAATTGGGTTTGACAAGGCTTTATTTCTGAAATATATTCCGAGGGTTGCCACATATTTGGAAAATAAAAGTCAACTTATTTCATCAGTTAGGTAAAATATGTGTTGAAACCTCTTTTGAAGGGGGTTGCCACCTGTTTAAAAAGTCGAATTTAATTAACTTACACGGAAACTATTTGAAATATGAAGAAAACGGGTGTCAAGCTAAAGAATGTTGAAAAAACTTTTGTTTGAACATTAGGAACATTTGAAGAAGGTTGCCACATTTTTAAAAAGTGGCCATAAAATGATTTATTAAGTTTGAGGAATTACTAAAATGTGGGCATCAATGGAAATGAGTTTGAAAATCCTTATTTGTCAAATTTAGTTAGGAGAGTTGCCACCTGTTTAAAAAAATCCAACTCAACTTAAATTAACGCAATTAGGCAATTGAAATATGTATCACACGTTGGGTATACATAGACGAAAGAAATTTAAGAATAGTTTAGTTTGAAAATACTTTTGAAAAGGATTTTGAATAGTCGTAGTATTTACTTAACTTATACGCAAGTTTCATGAAATATTAAAATATCGGTGTCAAGGTCATTAGAGTTGCACCGTTCTTTCGAATTTAAATATGAGAGGTCGAACTAAAGGTCTTGGACTGCAGATGTGCGCTTTTCTAGGTTTTTGAATAAAAATTTTGGGCGTTTTAATGCCATGAGGGTTCACTAGTTTCTATAGTTTGCAAATTTGGGCACAATTTTGGGAGCTATAACATGGAAATATTTATTTTCCGTTACCGTGGAAAAATTTTTGTTTATACAATTGAGTATGGAAACACCGATAGCAATGACAGCTCACGAAACGCGTAACCATGTAAACCTCGTAGACATTACCAATATTTTGCATGGAAAATCGGCTTATTTACGCGATTTACGCGGTTATCAGACATTTATGCCTTTAGATGAACTGCTGCTGGACGTTGGGAGGGGGGTACTGGGAGTAGGGATCTTGCTGGAGTTGTTTGAACGGTAGGTTAGTGCCGGTTGTACAGATCTTGCTGGCTGTGAGCGGTGGGGTTGCGCTGGTTGTCGGCGCTATAAGGCAACCGGGGTTGTCGACGGATCCTAAATAATTTTTGTTTGTGGTTTATATTTCTACAATCGAAAAATATACTTCAAACTTACGGTAAACCTTGGGCCACTATGTCTTCCAATACCTATCGATATTTTTTTTCATGGAGGAACTCCTCCTTTCTTGCCAAGTAGCATTTCAGCCATTCCTGGGCTTCAACTGCCGTCCACACCTTGCGTTTTCCGCAAAAGACTTTTATTATTTTGTAGTAATAAATACTTATGTATATCAAAATATGCAATTTGTTACTTACGATTTGTCCTTCGTTGAGTTATAGAGCATGATGCTCGAGATGATTTGTTGTTATTAAGTCTCTTCTTCGATATCGTATCTTTTCATGAAACACTTTTGGCATTCCCGACTTTTGCAAGCTGGTATTTCGCACACGGCATGAAGAAGGATTCCATCTGTGATTGGGCTCATGGCTATTTTACTATGCCTGGGTACTTGTTTTAAGGCCAATGATGGTTCCTTGAGAAATATTTTTCGTTTTCATTGCTCATTTCATCTGTAAATTCAATAACGAGCGGATCTTCAATAGCTATGTTCCTGTCTGCCTCCTCAAGATTATAATCCTCAAGTGGTTGTTCTTCATTATCCACTGGGACCATCGATCTAGTCACTCGAGTCTATAATCTTAAAAGTCATTATATTTCCTCTTCCGCCAATCAATTCTTGACGGTGATTAGCTTAAATAATATAAAAAAATTGGGATTCAATCTCACTCCAACTAAATTTGCACAAAATAAAACGCAATAAGTCAAAGCACCTGAACAACTGATAAATATCGCGATTATTTCTATTCTATATGTAGATACATATGTACATGAATTCATGCACAAATCGAGAAACATCAAAAGATAAGATGCCAGAGCACATAATAAAATCCCCTTATGCATATAGATACAAATTATATGTGATAGAGATAAATAAGATACAACAAAAATAATTAATGAAAACTAGTCCATCATACAAAATGTGTGACAGAATTACACATATCGTCCTGTTTATTATCATTTTAATCAGCTGTTCAACATGCAATAACAATTATCTACATAATTATCTTTTAGCTTTTCTCACACAACCAAAATTGTGCAATACTCTCTACTATTGCTCTTAGAAGTGATAAGACGATAGCTGATAACATGCAACTAACTACGGGTACTACATATGTATGTACAAAGCTTATAGCTAGACATTAAACTGTAAATTATCANGGATTCAATCTCACTCCAACTAAATTTGCACAAAATAAAACGCGATAAGTCTGATAAGTCAAAGCCCCTCAACAACTGATAAATATCGCGATTATTTCTATTCTATATGTAGATACATATGTACATGAATTCATGCACAAATCGAGAAACAACAAAAGATAAGATGCCAGAGCACATAATAAAATCCCCTTATGCATATATGTAGATACAAATTATATGTGATAGAGATAAATAAGATACAACAAAAATAATTAATGAAAACTAGTCCATCATACAAAATGTGTGACAGAATTACACATATCGTCCTGTTTATTATCATTTTAATCAGCTGTTCAACATGCACTAACAATTATCTACATAATTATCTTTTAGCTTTTCTCACACAACCAAAATTGTGCAATACTCTCTACTATTGCTCTTAGAAGTGATAAGACGATAGCTGATAACATGCAACTAACTACGGGTACTACATATGTATGTACAAAGCTTATAGCTAGACATTAAACTGTAAATTATCAGTCTTCACGCGTCGACCAACAAAAACAGGTTGTTTAGAATTGCAAAGTGCCAAAGTGAATGTGTTTGTAATTGTAGTTGGACGAGATNCTAACAATTATCTACATAATTATCTTTTAGCTTTTCTCACACAACTAAATTTGTGCAATACTCTCTACTATTGCTCTTAGAAGTGATAAGACGATAGCTGATAACATGCAACTAACTACGGGTACTACATATGTACAAAGCTTATAGCTAGACATTAAACTGTAAATTATCAGTCTTCACGCGTCGACCAACAAAACAAGTTGTTTGAAATTGCAAAGTGCCAAAGTGAATGTGTTTGTAATTGTAGTTGGACGAGATATATTTGCATACATTTTTAAAGATAGCTTGCTTTTATTAATTGATTAACATTCTCACAATGAATGTATCTGAATATGTGATTGGTGGTTTGGCTAATGTGGGTGCAACGCTTTTTACAAATCCCATTGATGTGAGTAGAGGAGCAAAAAATTAATGAGAGCTCTAATGCAGCAACTTTTTTCTCACAAAGGTCATCAAGACGCGCATACAACTGCAAGGCGAACTGGCGGCGCGTGGCACATACGTAGAGCCATATAAAGGCATCTTCCATGGACTTGTAACAATAGCGCGTAACGATGGTTTATTGGGCTTGCAGAAAGGTCTGGTGCCGACTATGTACTTTCAGTTTGTCGTAAATGCCTTTAGGTAGGTTCAAGAAGTTTGGAAATAATTTATTTACTATTGTTTTGATTTGTTACATCTGTATTTTCTACCAACCCCAATATTTATTTTTTGCTCAGACTGGGCATTTATAGCACCGCGAACAATATGCAATGGACACGCGACAAAAATGGTGATGAATCTTTCGGTTTGGGTCTCTTTTGGGGTGCTGGTGGCGGCGCTGTGGGCGCATACTTTTCCAGCCCGTTTTTTATGGTAAGTGTTAATGTACATGCATATGTGTATTAAGGTGTATCACTCTGTATGCAAAAAAACCGCTACTGCTTTTCCTTTGAAATATACAATTTTGCTATATTTGAAGACTTCCATAAAATATTTTGGAAAAATATTAACATTTATTATTTGTATTTGGCCTTTAATTGAAAAGTACTTTAACTTTGTTGATCTCAAGGCCGGATTCAAGTTAATATAAGAAAAAATATTAAGAATTGCGTGAGCTGGACCTGCTCCAGTTAATAAATGTTACATAATAAAAACTATTTAAAAACAATTGTAGGGTTCCCCTATAAAGGAAAAAATATTCACAAGAAAATTTTGGAATGTTATAAAAAGTTATTTTTTTAGGTTTTGCAAAAATATAATAAATGCTACATAATAAAGACTTTAAAATTTAATTTTCGTGAACATTTTTTGTAACATTTCAAAATATTTTTGGATTTTTTTTTTTTGTTTTGGGAAACCCTACAATTGTTTTCAGTCAGTTTCAATTATGTAACATTTATTAACTGGAACAGGAGAATAGATATTTTTTTTAATTGCTACTTTTTCTACACTTTCCACTAAAAAATTTAACACAAGGAAATGTTGCTTGCTATTTTTTAAAAGACTTCACAAAAAGAAGGAAGAAGGTTTTCAATTTGTCGGAATAAATTTTTTTTTTTTTTTTGTTACTACATACCTTTGGACCATGTTCTATAATTCTTTTTTTAAAGCAAAGGTGTTACGTCACAGGTGGTCCCATACTAATTTGGTTTACATCCGATCATTGGATCGTGAAGAAATTAACGATAATCTCAAATTTATATGCGAGAATTGAAGTCGATTTTGTTTTTTACTTAAAAATTACTTGTGTAAGTTTTTTTTTGAATTAATCAAATTCAGTTAAAAACGAAGACTCCAGTGAATTAAGAACAGTAAATGCCAGTTTTGAAGCACTGTGCGATAGTTCGGTGCTCATGATACACCATATAGGGTAAAAAGTTTAGTTAAGCTAAGAAAAATCAGTCAGGACACTTTAATTCGACCCTGAAATCAGGACATGTCCTGATAAATCACGTCGTCTGGTCACCCTATACGAGGCCATTTGTTTGGTTCTGAAATAAAGGCACTTACGCAAATTTCTATATTTTAAACAAATGTTTAGGGACCACATCAGGGTTCGAACAAATTTTAGTTTCTTTTAAATCACAACTGTTTGACTTTCTCCAGCTATAATTTATCGTATTGAAACTCAATCATATAAACGCATAAGCTGAGTTTTGAATTTTTGTGATTCAAAAAAAAAAATGTTTTTTTTTTCAAACCGTAAATATTTTTTTAGAGATTTTGAAAGTTTTATATATGTTTTTATTTTGAACGTAGAACAAAATAAATGTGTGCCCCATACAAAAATTTTGTTGTTGATATTTTTAAGGACCACCCTAATGTATATTCCAATGGAGCTCTATTACGATCTTATATTATAGCTCTCAAAAAAATTTGTGAGGCGAACGAATTATAAATCTGGACCGATTTTTCTTTCTAACCTCAAAAAGTCCTATTTCGGTCCATTTTGGGACGCTTTTGAGGCATGAAAAAAACGAGCATTGTGTAGACGTAAGTTTCGGCTTCAGATACCCAAAATGTGCATATAAGAGTTTATTATTCACTAGACAGACAAAAAACATTTTTTTTTTTTTTTTTTTTTTGTTTTAGCTGTGTCGGTAATTATTTATCACTTACTATGAAAGAAATATTTACATTTTAATTACTAACAACCACCATCTAATTTTGTTTACAAGAAGTCATAAACCAAAGTTAGCAGCTCCGTCTGAGGCTCATAAAAATTTAATAACTCAATACAGATAAGAACCATTGTTAGACAGGAAGTCGCTCTTTTATGGGATATTGCAAAAACACCTTAACATAAACAATAATGCCTTACGCCTGATTTATTTATCTAAAATTTAATTATCTTATTTTGCGTACCAAGTGTTTATAAATATCTAATGACTCTATATACTCGTATGTGTATTAACTTATTTCCGGCAGATAAAAACACAACTTCAAGCTCGTGCACCCAAACAAGTCGCTGTCGGCTATCAGCACGAACATACCGGCATGTTGTCGGCGCTGCGGCACATCTATCGGCAAGGTGGCATTTTTGGATTATGGCGTGGTTCGGCAGCATCCATTGTGCGCACCTCTATTGGTTCTGGCGCGCAGTTGGCAACATTTGGACCGGCGAAAGCTTGGCTGCGTGATCATAACGTAGTGGTGCAGCCGGCGTTAAATTCACTTTGTGCTGGCTTCATTGCCGGCTGTGTGTCTGCGGTGGCTATGACGCCGCCAGATGTCATAATGACACGTCTCTACAATCAGGGCTTGGATGCGAATGGCAAGGGTTTAATGTATCGAGGCTGGTTGGATTGTTTTGCGAAAACTGCACGCGCTGAGGGTTTATATGGACTCTACAAAGGCTTTTGGGGAATCTATTTGCGATTTGTACCTCATTCTGCGCTGTCGTTAGTCTTTTTCGACGAACTATTGGCACTCAAAAATAAATATAACATTGATTTTTAGGAGTTTAAGAAAGTAGTTATTTAAATAAAATTATCTCAAAATTAACAGTGGTTAATAATTTTAATGAGCTGCCATCTTTGGACCAGCGAATAAAAGAGTATAAAACTTTGCGCTCTTGTAACAAAAAGCCGAATTAAATGAGTACGTTTCTACAAAAAAGTTTTAAGACAGAAGTTGCTGGGGCTTTACATCTTTAGTTGTGTTCATTTTTTTAAGTTATAGATAAAAAATAATGAATTCGACGTAGACGTAACAAATTAGATGATGACAAAACCAGCAGGATATTGGTGGATATTTCAGGAACGATGTTCAGCACTGCGTGGTGGGATTATTGCCCGAGGCGGACCTCNCCCCCGACACATGGTTACTCGGCACTTGTTGGTGCCGAACCGTAAACGGGAGTTTTACTTCGTTTTCGGAGGCAATGGTGGTTCTGGTTTCGTGTGTTGCAGGTGTGGCTGCTGCTTGTGCGTCGGCTGCGCAAGCGGCGGTTGCGTCTGGCGATCGTGTTGCTCCTAAGTTCAGCCACTGTAGCCATCCTGCCCGTTTTTCCATAACTCTGGAGTTTCATCTTTATGATTAGTGTGGCGTGTTTCGGGGAATTGTGTTCGCCGTCCTGTGCACTCAGACATCCACGACTAGTCTCTTTAATCCTGTCGTCTGCGGTCCTACTTTACTTGCTATGCCTCCTCTTGATGCCTAGCGCGCCTGGACCAATTATGACATCATCATTGGCGCCAGGAACGATGTTCAGCACTGCGTGGTGGGATTATTGCCCGAGGCGGACCTCAGCTATCACGGCGTCGACGATCTCGTCTGGTGGTGCCATCGGCCATTAATACTTCGATGGCCGCTGCTACCTTCTCCCCACTACCAGAGTTCATTATGCGTTGCGCCAAGTCGATGATGGTCCACGGATCGGTTCGGCCGCACTCCTAGAACAATAACTTTCGTGCGTTACGACACCTCCTGGCGTAGCCGCACCTTCGGCATACATGGCTTAGGTTAAAAACCTCAGCTGCAGGTGTGGGATGATGCCGTATGTGCAGTGTAACTGGGAGGTCGTCGGACGAAAACATTGCTGATTGTTGATGACGAGGTCGGTCCGACCTCTTGAAACCCATAAAATGTTTTTCGGGTTAAGGTTAACATGAGGGAACTTCTTCCGGCAATCACTGACAATTAAAAGGTAGAAATTAATATATGAGGGTCTCTATCCCTCCACAACTGATCTCTAAAACGCATAAAGGTAGTCCAATCTTCCAAGTGCAAAATTTTAGTCTAACTTCTTAAAGTAATTAGAAATACTTTAATAGGTTAATCCTTAAGGCGCGAGTTTAAAAGTTAACGTTTTTTCACTAGTATCATTTTGTGAGTAGTAGAATTAAGCAAATAAAACTTCATTTTCGAAACTTTGGATAACTTTTCGATAAAAGAATTTTCGTACTTTTTGCGGTCATGAGTTTATTCTTTTTACATTTATAGAAAATCGAATTTTAAGTAACGGTGTCCAATACCGTGCGGCTTAACGGTTAAGACTTCCTCGGTAAAAGACATTGAAACCATTCCTATTTTGTTGTCCCTGGGGTTGTGTCACGTATTGAACTCTTCTCTCTTTGACTTGATGGGCCTGATACCGAGCGAACGGGCCACATCGGGGCACGTAGTCTCCTAATGATTAGATGAGCACTACGATGAACAGTGTTGAGCTCTGTATCTTGTATCTTGGCTCGCAGCATGGATACCTACTCTTCATAAGTCTCCTTTCTTTAGTCAAGCAAGTGCTCTCTGACTTATCGGGTGGCTGATCGTTTCGAGGCAGAACGTTATTCGGGTGGTTCTCCCGAGGACACCCGGTGAGGAAGTGCTTCGATAATATAATATTAGCTCTCTCACTGCAATCATTTAGCATGGTGGTTTATGTATTGATTGGACGACATGAGATGACAGTCTTTAGTAGCACCTCTAGTTCCTGCCGTTATATTGGTGCTGTATAATTTACCATTGACCGACAGATTGCTAAATTTTTCACGCACTAAACAGCCGACGAAAACTTTAACTTAAGATTCACTGATATGCAATTGAGATCGCTTTCTCGTGGAGTCCTTTAGGCAACTTCAAAGGACCAAATTAATGTTTTAATTTCTGACGTTGGGTAACTAGTAGATGACACCAAATCGGAAGATCTGAAGAAGTCAGCACCCGGCGACGCCTCAGACTTTGGAACATGAGGCAAGGCATTTTCCAAATATTAATGCCTCCAAGCATGTATATATCTGCGAAAAGAGGTTTAGAGCAGATCGACGCTTCAGAGAAGGTGACATAAACCTCAAACAAATCAATTTAAATACTGAAAGGACTACATAAATCGTATGCTTAATTGTGCACGCAGCTATGAAAATTTTATCGTATATCGTCGGTGATACTGCAAAACGTTTTATGTCGCTTACTACCTCTGGTGCTTAATTTATCTGTTATNTAGCACCTCTAGTTCCTGCCGTTATATTGGTGCTGTATAATTTACCATTGACCGACAGATTGCTAAATTTTTCACGCACTAAACAGCCGACGAAAACTTTAACTTAAGATTCACTGATATGCAATTGAGATCGCTTTCTCGTGGAGTCCTTTAGGCAACTTCAAAGGACCAAATTAATGTTTTAATTTCTGACGTTGGGTAACTAGTAGATGACACCAAATCGGAAGATCTGAAGAAGTCAGCACCCGGCGACGCCTCAGACTTTGGAACATGAGGCAAGGCATTTTCCAAATATTAATGCCTCCAAGCATGTATATATCTGCGAAAAGAGGTTTAGAGCAGATCGACGCTTCAGAGAAGGTGACATAAACCTCAAACAAATCAATTGAAATACTGAAAGGACTACATAAATCGTATGCTTAATTGTGCACGCAGGTATGAAAATTGTATCGTATATCGTCGGTGATACTGTAAAACGTTCTATGTCACTTACTACCTCTGGTGCTTAATTTATCTGTTATCTGTATCTGATCGCTTCTGGCAATCGTTTATCTTCATCAGCCAAAGGTAGACAGTTTTGGCATTCGTTTATTACGGTGTAAGGATTTGCATTCCGGTGCAAGTAAAATACCATCTAAGTATCAAGGGTACTAATAGACATATACCGTTTTGCAGTATCACCGACGATATATGCAAATGTAAGATCGAACATGTTTCAACTAACTTCGAACAAGCAACATGTTGCTGCTGAATCAAAAAAAAATAGCTAGCCGGCATTTTAGGGAAAACATACCAACTGCTGAACTTGTTTTGTTTACATTTTAATAGACGCTGCTTTGTCAAATTTAGCGCACAAATACGACAAGCTGGTGTGGTGAGTTTCGTACCCATATTCATCTACACACGGCACATTCCGCACATACAAGTTTACCTGTTGAATGTAGAGCGGCGAATATGAACTGAGGAGGCATGACAGGTACCTACTCGGCGCCGTTGGACAATATTGATAAGTTGCATTTTCACGAGCTCTTGTTGAGCTCTGCATCCTATGGATAACACCTACACACAGCCTTTCCTAGAGTTACACTGTACGCTGTGCCCGAGAATTCACGGTCAGTCAATTGGGATTTTCCCACATTTCAAGAAGCGGCACTGGCATTTGTACACGTGTTGTGTACCACAACAACAACAACAAAAACAAAGTATGGAATGTCAACCAAACAAAGCAGGCTCTTTGTCGTCCTTTGTGCATTTCACGCTTATCACCCCCAATGCCTTTTTTCGTGTTTTGTCCTCAACGTTTTAGAAGGCACAGTAACTGCGTTAATTTCATTTTCGTTTTTGTTTTTTTCAAATTTATTACCATTTAAAATCAGTTGTGCCCATTTTTTTTGTGTAGCATTTGGCGTGTGTTTGTTCTTTGTAATTTTTTATATTTTTTCTCTTTGGCATTTTTCGACCTAAACTATTTTTCGTTCGTTCGTATGTAACTCCGATTATCCTTTTTCGCTGCGCTTAATCTTTTTTTGTTTTGTTTGGCATATGCCTGTGACGTTCCGAAGAGGAATCTACTTGAATTACTTGAAGGCTCATTGTTCAAATTCAATGCGCCTGTCATTTTTGGCTGGAAACAAAGCAAACCACACAAGTGCCCATTTGATCGTCCAACTTATGTACTTACATATCTACATACTATTCAATTTATGTCCATATGCATCTCAGCATGTGTGCTCATAAGTAGTATTGCGTGATGCTTTAGAGCAAATGACAAAAAGGCTGTTTTGTCTTGCGAATATCCTTTTAGCAGTTCGGCTTATTTTAAAAGGATTCCTAGTAATCGGTAAGTTGAAAGGGGTTTGAACAGTGATTCACACTTTGAGCAGAAGAGTGAGTAAGATATTTGTACTTGAGAGTCTGGGTTTGGGCGTACTTTCGCCTAACTTTATAAAACAATTATAGAATATTATATATTCGGAGAGCGAGAATCCATCGCCGGCATCTTCTTGGAGAGCCTGCAGATTAGTATTTTTGTCTGCCAAATGACTGCAGTGGCTTCCAAGCTGGCATGCATATATGCGATAGAGAAGCCATGTACTCTTATATGGTCACCTTTTTCATCACTCTGTCAAGGCTACAGAACGATTAGGAGAGTGGACTCACGCTCAATAGTACAACGAACAGCTAGTTTCCGGGTGAAAGCATGAATCGAATATTTTAGAGTTTAATTGGTTAGGATTAGTCAGATCAAAATAAGATAGAGGTATTGTTTAAGGGAAGATCTCCCTCAAGTGACGCCTTCCACACAATACTTCCTCTAAGCCTACATCCCTCACGTACAGCAGCAACGCCTTTGGGGGTAGGGAGTAAGTGCGCTCTAGCTGTGGTCATATCGAGCCTAGTCTTCTGTCACGTCATCTGCAGATGGCATCACACTCGGTAAGAATATGTAATGGTGTCTACCCTGTCGATTCGCAGATTCTAAATAGGTACTTGACTATATTCCTAGCCGATACAGATGCCT